GGGTTGCAATATAATAAAACTATCTTTCCCCGAAAAAATAGTAATATATTGCTAGAATTGCTAGGTACTGGAAGTATAATCAAAGGCTAGAAGTACCTAGATTGTGAAATATAAACATGTCTTCTACAACTGTTCGCTGTGTTGACCAAACTTTCTATACATCGTTTTTTATATATAGTATTCTAGTACTATAAATTAACTGCATTTGCCTTATTGTAAGCAGTTGGAACTATTGTACATCACAGCATATGTATCCCAATTACGATACCGCATATTCCACATTCATACCATAAAATTACAATTTGTTCCCCAATGCTTAATGATGCTCTTTATTTTAAGTTCTGCAAATTTTCTCCAACCGAACTCGTATCCCACGATAAACTTTGACCTTTAGTGAAAATAAGTAGACTACTACAATGATAGTTAAGTACACAATTGATATCAATAACCTTATTCCAAAAAAACAATCAGTCTTAACTAAACACACTATTAGTTTTGTTTACAGTTACATATGAACATAAATTGAATCAGTTCAAAAAGTTTATTTTAGTTGCTTTATGAGTCCGATAGAAATTACCAAAAGCAAGGATTAACTGAACAATCAAAAACATACTGAGCCATGGACATTAGAAACCAATCAAATGCTATACAAATTTAAATTAAACATGCAACGTAATTTAGTTTGAATTGTTTTCATTGGCCGGTCGGTCGGTCGGCCTTGGTCGGTCTTTTAATTTTACTGCAGCTGAAACAAGAGAAGAGAACAATAATCAAATGAAATCGCATAGACAATTGTTATTGTAATCGATCAATACAGTATCGTCCAAACAGAGGTCTTCATAACCATATATGTGACTGCTATCAGCAATGCACAACAGTTTAACAAATCAGAGTTGATGTTGAAGAACTAAGAAATCTTCTTCCGAATAGACACAAATTTCCATAACATTTATGTAGCCTGATTTATGAAAGAATCACGTTCTCACACATTTTAAGCCATATACAATCTTGTTTTAAAGTACCATTTTTTGCACAGTGAATTGAAAAAAAAAGGTTTCAAATATATTAAAATTATTCTGTAGTTTTTGCCGCATTTATCAAACGTTTGAAACATGTTTTTTTCTGTTTTATTTAAGATGCCAGTTTATTAGTATTACCTTCCTGGTACTTCCCAACTGTATCCAAATTCTTTGACATCGTCAGTCAATTTCAATGTGCCATCAGGTAATAACATTTTCAAATCATTTTCCTCATCTCCATTGGCGTCGCCTAGCAACCCACACACCATTCCATGCCACGCCTCATCTAGGTCGGCTTTCACAGCACCATTTCCATTCCACGAGAGGGTAAATACGCCGGGATAATCTACGATAACTCGTGTTCTTTGTTTATTGAAACTGATTTCTATATTGTCGGTAATGGTGACGGGCAGTGAAAAATATACTGATTTACCATTCACCTGTAACGAAATCCAAGAATCCGTTAATTAGCGGCATTTTAAATTCAACATTTACGTAAATTTATGGGCGTGTGCTTTATTATGTGCGTTAGAATAAAATGGATTTTTGATATAGAAATCGGGATATGGTTTATTGGATTGTTTTTTACAATACTATTTTGATATGTAGGGCAATTATGTAAATAAACATTTCACCCAATTGTTATTGGACGAGCCTTATCAACAACTAAATGCAAATAAAAAATCCGAATGGAAAATTTGCAGCAACGTTAACGTTCCAATTGTCACCGAAGACGTGTGGCGCATCAACTCGAATTACTTACAATGGTAACATATAGCTACTGATTGGGAAATGCGAGTAAAACAATGTAAATGCAAGGCATAGAAGAGAGGTATTTAAAGAAAATACACATCCACCAGTGTTCACATTATTTCATCATCTTAATATTCAACAATCCCATTAACAAGGCAAAACACATATACATAAGCAATACATGAAATTCTAAACCTTCACCAGTATGAAAATTACAAACTCAATTTTACCTTAACGTCGGTATTATGGAGTTCAATGACAGCAGATGGTACGAAAATCCAAACCATAAGTACATAGGTTTTGTTATGACCATCATTAAATGAAGAGTAGTGTTCAGTATGGACAGCAAATTTCTTCTCATCTGTACAATCTTGGAATAACTTATATGTACAGGCCCCGTGGAAATTAAACTTCAAACCATCAAAAGTTTCGAAGTGGGGGTCTCCTAATTCATGTCCTCCTTCTGTAAATGAGATTATGTTTCTCAGTTTGCAGAGGTTTGACATATTTATTTAAAGTAATGTTTCTCAGTAATATTTACACCAGCGTCTACGTCATGACGGTTATAAATATAAATCAAGGTAATCACAAACAAACGAACATATAAATTACAGCACATGTTTAATGTCGCTCTTGGCATTGCCAAGGTTATACAAAACTGGGTAATGTTTCTAGTTTGAATCAAATTTAGAGACTCTGATATTATAGATCAAATTATTTTTATATCAAAACTGTGTTTGGTCCTTTGGTTTACAAGCAATTTCTTGCACGTTATCCCGGGACTCACACAATGACCTTAAACTGTGTGGTCTCATCAAATACTTGGAAACTCAGCAAATACTTACGGCCAACATGCTCTGTGAAGGCAATAATAGAAAAGGGTGTTATAATTACCAATTCCATGAGTAGCATATATAGTATGGAAATGAATACATTAATTGTAATTCTTTGCAAATATATTTGTATACAACTTTTCAGGATAACTAGATTAGTATATTAGTGGAATCGTTATGTGTCATAATCAATGTTAACCTGACATATAGGCGTGAGTAGTGTACTCGCCGTCCGTGTTGGATTTGGAGCACCGCGGATGGCTCAATTCACGGGTGTACACAATTCAACTAGAATTGTGTTATAATTAAAATAACCCAAAAATACTTACTCTTCACACAGCATACTTCACCATCAGCGGCACATCTACATGTTCTCCGAGCTACCAGACCAGCACTCTCACAGTTATCCAAACATTTTCCATTACACGCACTGCAGTGCACTATATTAAATAATATAATTGTGGCCTTATTGTCATGAGATATTTAAGAAAGGGATATATGTATTGTGTAGATGGCGGAACTACTGTCGGCTGTACTTTTGACAGTCAAACAATAACTTACTTTTGTTAAGCAACAAACATAATTACCTTTTTCGTTGCAAATGATCAGTCAATATATCAATCAATATATTGATGTTTATGGCTAGACTACAATGGTGAACACATGGTTTGCTTGTCTTGGCCATTTTTTGGTTGACATAACAATGAGACTTTAATGCTGATCTAAACAACACGGCATCAATACTAACTCATTCACTTTTTACAATAAACAAGTGCACACTTACATATTTTCTTACAACATATGCACCCATTGTCACAGAACTCGCCAGGTCTTCCAACTTCCGTCTCATCCCACATGCATTCAGGTGATGATCTACACTTCCCTCGACCTGGAAACTGTTTTGCACACTTGTCCTCATCTAAAATAAATAAATGTCCCGTTTATACAGTTGCAATGAAATAAACTCATCGTTTGATTGTTACTGACGTGGAGGTCAGGCAGTTATTGGCATAAAGAAGATTCAATACTTTGTTTGCGTGAATACCAAAAACCAACATTGTATCAATCTGCATAGCTATTTGGATAATGTAAAACTATTCCGTTTATTTATTCTGAGACACGATACACAATTTGTATGACACGTAATTGTGTTCTGACTTATCAGGGCTACTATTTCAGCAATGTTGAATAGTATACTAAGATACTAGGATCACTACTGCAATTACTCACTTTCATTGTTTTGATTGCAATCTGCAAGTTAAAAAAACATATATTACCAATTAGTATGTCGTGAAGAATAATGACGAGGTCTTTTGAACACTTCTGAAACAGACTTGTACTTTTCTTTATTAATATTTGCAGTGTTGTTATTGACAATTTGACAAGAAAGAAACAATCCCTACAAATCCTATAAAATGAAATGAAGTTGTGAATGCTAACGTTTTAATGTGCTATTGATACTGCTTTACATTAACAGGCGAGAGAGGATTATATAAAAGACCACGATATTGTATGGTTGTGAATGATCGAAATGGACATCGATGATTAAACAAATGAACAGTTATATTGTATATTACAGCCAGCAGTTTTCTCAAAGAAAAAACCATTGGAAATCATCACTTACTTTTTTCACAGCATTTTGTATTTGCAGGACAAACACATGGCTTGTCATTACATTCAATTGTTTTGGGTGGGTCACATTTATTACCAACACTGCACTGTTTGTCGTGACACCAAAACACGTTGGTCTGACAACTATCTGTGGAATAACATGAAATTAATTTATACAGTTAGACTGATCATTTTGTGAATACTTAATATTCAGCGGAAGTGAATTATGTGTTGTGAGTTAAGAAAATCAGAAGACAAAACTTACCAATTGGAATACAACATTTTTTGTTTTTTTCGGCACACTGACACAATTTTGTAGGAGACTCTTTGTGTGTCTGTGCTGGGCAGATATTTAAACATTCACCTTTACATTTATCACAGGTTTCTGAGGAAGAATAACAACGTATGTATTGTTACATTGATTTACATCAAAATACCATACTATTACCTTCTGTTCTGAGCTGATAATATAATTAAATACTTTTGTTATTCTTTAATAGAATTTACTCAGAAAAAAATTACAATTTAATCTTTCACTTGTAACACTTATGGAGACAACATTCATCCATAAGGTGAGCAAAATACTTCGACCGCCATTTAAATGGAAATAACTGATCGCTGATATAGCAGTAAATGGATAACTGAACAATTGTCCTCGAGCGGTGCGTGTTATAGTTGATATGTATTGAACTAGAGCACTGATTCCTTGAGCTAACTCGTTTGTCGAATTAAGTAAACGCCACTAGGTCAACACACAATGATAATATAGGAAGTAAACAAATACAAAAGTTTTTGTTTAAATATTATTTAATAATACTTTGACAAACAACACGCTGTTATGTTCACTGAACCACAATTATCTCACCACAGCCTATCCACCTTTTAAAATTGAAAATGCATGAATAGTTTCAAACAATCAAAGTTCATGAAAAATGTTTTATACTGAAGATCTTTGTTTTATAGTGGCTTTTGTCTGATTATCCTGTCACATGACATGTTACATTACAAGACAGGCTCAAATAAATATGCAGTTTACTACCATGGTAGTTCACCAGTTTCTAAATACAATAATTGAATTTGTTATCCACTCTCCTGTATTCTAGTAAAATTAATTCTCAATAGAAAGATGTTTCTGTTCATTTCGACTCACTAGTCAACACGTGCAAAATGTTTATATTCACATTATGGGAGGATCATGTAATCACACATAAAACATGGCGATTTGAACAAACGACACATTCTGTTTGTATTAAATCTCTTTATAATACACACATATACAATGAACTTACTGACATAACACTTCTTTCCTGATGGACACTGTGTTTTGGGACTCAGTTCGATTTCCCCATCAAGAGGAGCTTCGCGACAAACACCGCCCGCTTCATGGCAATTCGTATCTGCATTCAATATAAATAACTGGTGCATTAAAATATCTTTACGTCACCTTAACGCCAGAGTATTGTTAATAATCCAAGTTTATGCATCATCGAATATGTAGGTGTGTTTAGTGGTGTAGTGGGGCTGCTACTGTGCACTGGAGCCTTGTTTTATGATAGATAACATAACAATTTGTCGTACAATATTTAGTGAAAAGTAATAAGCTTCCATGGCATAATGATAATACAGAATCTGTTTGTTTCTGAACAGAAGTAAAAAAAATATGTTCTAAATTTCAAAGGTATAAACGGGGAAAAATAATAGAAATGAGTGCAATATTGTATTGAATATGCAACTGGTAACATAAGACGTGATTAAATTAGTATTAATGTAATATGTAATACACTATTATCATCCGAACTAATATGTAAAAGTTTGCAATGTTTAATTGAATAACAAAAATGTGTTACCACGTCTTTGGAATACTATATTCTCAATCCCAATTGCAAACAAAAGACATTGCACAATTATATTTGAATACCTTTGCATTTTGACACACTGTGAGTATAAGATGTTCAAATGATTTGAAATGTGAATTTAGCTAGTGAACAATTACTTACTGACGCAGCATATTTTTCCCTTTGGTGTATAACAGTTTACTTGAGTCTTATGTTGGCTGCATTTACTTCGGGTTTCAAGATATCCACCGCAGTCGGTCTCACAGTCAATTCCTGTGACCGAAATAGTCATTGAGAACGTACACAAATAAATTATCTCGACAAGTAGTTTAGAAAACACCAAACACACCGAATACATAATTTAGAATAATAACTTACTGCCATCATTGCCGGTTGCAGGGTCTTCATCTTCATAATGATCTCTACTATATCTGTCAATGGCTTGTAATTGGTCAAATGTCTCAAAATAGAACGAATGAACAAATGAGTGAATAATGAATGATCAAACCATACCCGTGAGTAGATATAAAAACAGCCACCCAATTGTCTTTATAGGTTGAAGCAATCAATATAGATTGTCACATGTCGAGAGTTAACCGTAAAAATTAAATTGTCATGTGCAGATAATTGTTGCAACTAAACTGCACTGCAGTTGTCAAATAAATAATAAAATAATGAAATAATAAAAATAACGACGACTTCTCAAATACAAGGACAATTACATATTACTTGTAATGTTAAATACCATTTTTTAAGTGTCTTGTAATGAATTGAATTCCTGAATATTGTATAATTTGTAGTATGCAAATTAACTACGATTCCGTTTTTGACTTTAGTTTGTAGATTGCCCTGATATAATCCAGACAATACCACTTCTTAATATTTATTTATTAGACACAGTTAAAGTGTCACAGGGTTGCGCTGACTAAAGTCTAACACAAATTTGACAGTAAACAAATTTAAAATTTGAAAGTAAATTGGGATAGGCGTTGTGCTGAAAATATTGGAACTTGATTTTATTAAAGACGCATTATCTTATATCTTCGCTGGAGCATTGGATTTACAACTTTTTCAATATTCCAATAATTCAGTTTTAAATATATAACAGAATATAAAGTCCCAGCCCATATACCAAATGCATTATGCTTGAGCTCGTCGAAGTATACATATGTCTGAACAGTATTAAGAACTAATTTACGAGTTCTACAAACTTAAGGCAATCTGTCCATTTCCCAAGTAGATTCCGACTTATTTTTTTTCTAAGACATCCCAATAGTTCTACACAATCAAGTGTCATATAGAATCATATAGTATAAATATAAGCATTAGTAGAACTTTTAATCTTACCATCTACTGATGAAAATTACAACTATTGTTAACACTCTCTAATATTAAAGACAAATCTAAACAAATCCAGAACAGTCTTCGAAGATGGGACGATTACCTGAACACTAAGTGTCATCACTCATAAAGATACAAATTTAACGACTTACAACTACCCAACAAATCTGGGTAACCGAAACCTATGCACCCATGAGGAGGTATCCAATGAAAGAAAGTATTGATGACAGGCAAATGACAATACAGCTCAAAGTGGCATAGGAGAATATATTGAAGATAATATTTGGT